GCTCGAGTCATATCCATTTTTGGATATAACCATCAATTGAGAATTATTTTTTTTATTCAGCAAGTCTATTCTTATCTTAAAGAGCCTCATTCGGAAAATTACAAAAAAGAAATTTCTTGAGACACAATCCCTTTCCATCGCACAAAATCCTTATCCCTTAACCTTTTCATTAGGTATAAAAATGTTTGCAAATCATAAATGTCTCTCTAAGATCAAACAAGGCTGATGTTTAATTTTCATAGTGTTCCCATTGTCAAAGCAACTCCGCGGCAACACCCTACTCCTGGTGAAAAAGAATTATTTTTTACCCAGAAATCCAGGTTACTTACTGCATATTTTCTCATGGATAAAAGATACAGAAAATTCGATACAGACCCGAATTTATCGTTAATTGTGGATGTGTTAGTAAACCAGTAACAACCATTTTTACCTTGAATATGAAGGTGATCCAAATGACCATTTGACTCGCAAGTTTTCGTAAACATCTTCACGGGAACGAAAGTTATTTACCAAAGTATAAAAGAACTCATATCTAATTTACTTGTAATCGGGTGGAAGAAGCGCTAATATGGCTTAGAATAAATGAGACGCAATTCGCAAACAAATTGGAATTGAAATTTTATAGTTAGTTGCTGGACGTATTAGAAAACCGATCGCGATCATTTTTACGCCAAACTTGCAAATAGTGCTGGCGAACGTTTGGGAAGCAGCTTTTCAGAAAGCAGCTGGGTCGAAAGTTATAAATGAAGTTTTGAAAAAATTATCAGTGCTTTCGAGATTGCCGTTGTTTCGTTTCTTCTGCATAATGGGCCAAACTTCAGTCCTCTTATCTTTACTCAGCACACTACATATACAACATCTAGAAAAAACAAAATGGGCGTGTTCCAGAAAAAGAGATATATATTTGCTATATGACATTATTAAAAAGCAAGATGTGGCATCTAAACATGTCTACTTCTTTATGCAGAATTTTTAAGGTTGAAATCAAAAGCCCGTCAAAATGACGGGTGCCATGCATCTACTCTTAAAAGACAATTCAGGTTGAATTCCTTTAATCTGATGCGCCCATCATAATAATAATAATAATAGTTTAACTTATTCATTACGAATACAGCACTGCGGCAAAAAATTCATACGTACTGGTAACCTAATTTTTTATTTCTATGCAGGCAACAACAAAGTAACGAATTCTCCGTTAATCACATGAGACAAACTACGACAGATATATAAGGGAAATCGATTGAAGTGTAAACTTTATTGTAACTTAAGTTCATTCCATATTAAGGATCTTCGGCTACTGTTGCTTGATGACCTTAATTGTTGCAGTTTTTATCAACTTTTTGATTATGTGAACTTTTTCTATGCCTACCATCAACCAAGGATGAATGTACATAAGTTTGTAAGAATGCCAAAAATGTATAGCAGGACTCTTGCATATAGAATACATAAAAAAATTGTTAAAGACATGATTTCGGGTTAATTAGGACGCAGCTATCTACTAATCTGTCAGTCAGTTGTCTTTTATCGTAACTTCTTCAGCTACATATTGAAAGTCGACAGAAATGTTCTTGCAGTAGTTTTTCGGAATCAAGATATTCAATGAAATTGATATTGATGATGAGTGTATATAATGCAAGGTAAATTTGAGTCCTATTCAAGTCTATTTCAAATCAATTTGACTTTTTTTGCCTGTCTGTTAACTGAAACTACGCTTACCTTAAGAAACCAAAATTGACTTGAGATGTTTCTTTACCACTATTAAATCATATCAATTAAATTGGTCCGTTCATGCTGTCCACAATTACCAAAAATGCTGAAAATTTCCTCCACTTCTCAGATTGATATGCAAAGTTTGTTTGAACTTAATCTCTAATTATTGTGAAGTGTCTGTTGAGGGTTATCATCTTGCTCTTGTTTCCAAAATTTTCCCAAGAATGACTATTATCAAGGTTTATATGGTCGGTTTCACAATACCACCTATGGAAGTATTGCCCAGTTATTGTTATTTGATCGAGTTGTTTTTTGAAGGAAATTGTAATTTCAGTTTACGTAAAATCAAAATGCTAGTAGTTTTTGTACCCCACTCTAAACTTCACTTTAAGTGAAGTCATTTTTTTTTTAATCAAACACTTTTTCCAAACAATTTGATTATGTTTATCTCTCTGTCCGTTCATCCGACCGTAGTCGACTGTTCTTATATTAAACACTTTTTTCAAACAATTGAATTATGTCAATTTCTCTGTTCGTCCATCCGACCCTACTCGACTTTTTGATATCTCTTCATTTCTATATTCAATATATAAGTCCAGGTATTTTCCATGTTTTGGTGAGCAAATTCTAGTTACCCTCTGTATTTTGAAAAAGTCGTTTTCAATTTTAATATATCTCGACTAGAATCAGCGAAGAATATCCATTTGTTATACGAAATGATTGCGAAAAATTTGATTAGGATAGGCCTACGTTTTGAATCTCCTCCATTACAAACATTTTCGGAAGGAATCAGCCTTCATATGACAACACCGTTTTCATGAAAACCGGCACAAAAATAATAATATGAGAAGATTAATGGAAGGGTGGATCGCAAAGATCTATTTTTCGAACTTCTTGATACAGAAAGCTTTTCATGAAAAGCGCATCTTTATATAAGAACAAAGGGGAAGTTCTTTGGTGAAGACAGCTTTATTAAATCTGGTTCAAGTCGGTCCACATTGCAAGGTTCGCTACGAAAATGAGCTTTTGCATGACAACAAAATATAATTCTTCGAGTTTTATAACGAAAATCGGTAAGAACAGAATTGTCGTGGCCTAGGACATCTAATAGTTGACTTTTCTAGAGTTTTTTTTACTTCTCCTAGGACATCGTCATAACAAGCTATGTTTTTTTATACCCATTATCGAAGGATGAGTCGTGTATTCATTTTGTCAAAACGTTTGCATCAGAGACTCGACAAAGTATATACATTCAGCATCAAATTTTAAATCGATTTAAATATGTAAGTCTGTCCCTCTGTCTGTCTGTCCACCTGTCCAATGTCTGTTGTAAACATTGTCCTGGTTAGAAAAATGAATTTATAGACTACAAATTTGGTAGAAACATTGGACCAAATCGTTCAAAGGACACTTCTACGGTATCATCTAAACTAAGAACACCTCTGTTTTTTAAAAGGAATATCAAATTGTTTTTTTTTTGCTCATTACTCAACAATATATATTCCAAGGGTGATGTCGTAACACTTGTATAAAAATGGGAAAAATGATCACGCCTACCCAATGCTAGCGTGTATAAAAAAAATATAAAAAAAATGTGTTTTTTTTTTCAATACTTTTATAATCCGCAGAAACAAGCATCGAAAATCCCACATAGTATATAAATTCTTGGCCCGTCTGTCCATCTGACGGTCTGCGCAACTGTGTAGTGCAAATTTGCGAAAGAATTTTGGAGGGACCTAAACTTTTCACGGGACATTCCCGTAACACCTACATGTCTATGCGACAAAAACTTTTCTTTTGAAAATAGAAAAAATCAGCTACGCCCACTCCATTTAATGGGGCATGAAAACATAGTTCTTTTCTTGTTTTTGTCTTTCTTAGGATAACAGTGACGGGATCGAATATAACTTTCTTACTTGTTTAACTTCCGAAGTGAATTGGACTTGAAGTAATTCTTATGTACGTTAAATAATTTTCTGTAACAAAAATTATGAAATGGACTTTGCTAAAACCAATTGAAGCCAACATCTCTCTCAGAATTCTTTCCACTAATCCCGAGATTAATTGCTTTTGGCAATAAAGATGAGTCAAAGCGATCCTGATGATATTTTGAAAAAATGATTTTCCGTCCAAATTAATAGTATTTCGCGGATCTTCTTCTGAAACTTTCCCTTGCAATTATGAAAATGAAAGTCACCACCAGCAAGAAATTTTCGAAAGGACTTTTGTCATTTACCTGCACTTATCGAAATTTCTATTTTCGATCGGTTGAATTAAAGCATTTTTTGAGTAAGAAATCAGTCAAGCACAATATCAATTGAATATTCGTATTCAAGGACAAATGTGTTGCACCTTAATATATAATAAAAAAAAAAAAAAAATAAAAAACCATATCTCTATCTGCAAAGATAAAAGTTGGCTTTTCATGCCCTATATATTCATTTAAAATGAATTAAATATTTCTTTAAAAAGTATCTAAAAATTATACAATGAAAGCAGTTGCAGAAAAGAGAACAAGTGCTGGATGTTAGCTGCATTGCTTAATATTACACATCCATGGGCATCCATATATATGCATATATATATATATATATATATGTGTGTGTGTATGTATGTATGTATGTATGTATGTTTGTATGTATTATAAAACTCATAGGAAATAAATACCATTCTATATAACGAGAGGAAAATTTGTAGGTAAGGTAGGAACGAACCTCGACAATACAGCAGAAACAATGACAACGATAACAGTAAAAGCTTAAGCAACAAAAACACACAACGAATTACAACGAAAAATACACACATTTAGAAGAAGCAGGCTTTAGGCGCATTTACTCAAACAACAACAGTTACAATGTTATACTACTCGTATGCATTGTATGAAAAGATTTTAATATTGTATGTGGGGAAGAAAAATCAAACACATTCGTTTTTCATTTCTGATGCTATTTTTTACTGCCGTATAAATACCGAAAGGAACAAAACAAAAAAAAAAAACAAAACAAATAAACCAAAAAAAAAAAAAAAAACAAACAAAACAAACAATTGTATATTCAACCAATGTAATGGTAAAGTGAAGTGAATAAAATAAAAAAAAAATAAAACAAAATTTTTTTTTTCTTTTTTTTTTTTTTGTAGAAAATTCAATGCCATGCCAAAGGCCTGATTGCTGCTGGCTGACTTTAGTTGTAGGGCAATTTTTGCTTTTAACGAAATTAAAAAAAAAAAAAAATAATAATAATAACTTGAAAATGTGACTTAAAGAAATATTTAATTTATATTATTTTTTATGCAGATTATTAAAATTAATTTGTTATAGAAAGCAAATCGACAAAAAAAAAAAGAAATGAAAATGTTGTTAAACGGGCATCTAAACAGCTTTAGGCACAATTACAAAAACTTTTTACCTCAGTATAGTGCTAAATATAAAAATCAACAATTTCTTATCATAAAGCAAAATAACTGAATTCAAGTGCTTAACATCTTTAAAAAATCTATCCATAAATCATTGAAAAACTCTTTGAAAAAGCACAACACTTTAAACTTTTTTTAGTTAACTTAACTAAACTGAAATCGCTGTGTTTTGCTTAAAGCATTTGCCGGTAAATTAATTGAAAACATGAGAAAAACGATATCAGCACCGAGACCGTTAGCATTACCCTATTTTCACTTTCATCATGCCAGCTTTTTGTTTACGGTATTGTTGGTTTTACTTACGCTACCGTTAAAGGAGGCAACACCTCAGCGGCCTCTTCTTAATCATACTTCATATAATTCCATACCAACGAGTCAACATAATTACAAATTACGTAATGGTCGAACTCATGATATACCGCCAATACCACCTTCTACGATGGCATCTATGCCACCGCGTAGGGCTCTTTACGAAGAATACGATAGTACCGGTTTGCCACCTTTGGGGGGACGACGTGATAGTCGGCGACGTTTGAATTTGGCTGGCTTAGGAGGCTCAGGACCACGTGGTAATAATGCTCGCCGTGGCATAGATTCATTGCGCAAAGAATTGATGAAGCCATCTGTGGGCGGTCCTGGTGGAGGCATTAGCAGCGGCCATAGTATAAGTTATCCGGCATATTCAGCCACATCTTCAATTGGAAAAATTGATGGTATCGGCAGTTTGGGACCAGCGCATCGCTATGGTGATCCTTTGCAACCGGCTACTATACTTGCACCGATTAATTCTTTATATCCTACTGGTATACCACCCGATCATTACTTAGCTAATCTTCAAGGTAAAGGAAAAATACTGCTACTAATTACATTAGGCTAACGTTACATCATCGCTTGGCGATTTTTTTTGTTTGCCTTTTAGATCACAAATATACCCGCATTACACCCAGATTGAATTCTATTTCGGAGATACGAAAACTAAATAACGAGGCTAAGCAGCATGGCCAAGCAGACGAACCGGCCGACGGTGTGGATGACGACATAATCTTGGAGGAACACAATGATCCGTTGCAAGTAATCAAAGATCAGATCCGCAATTCACAACCACAATCGGTAAGATTTTCCCCATAAAACTTTCTATTAATAAATCAGTGAACGGAATAAGGAACAGAACTGGAACAGAAACAGTTATGTATATTTTAGTGCCTGAACTCAAAGTTTTTCATCAGGAGAAATAATTTTGAAAACAACAGGCGGTTATATATCTTAACAAGTTTTGTTAAGTGTCTTACTGAGTTTAATAAAAAATTGATTGTCTATAAGGCTTCTAATGGTGCATTTCTTCTGTGCTCGATTTCATTGATTTTATCAAATCAATTTACTTCAAATCGTTGTGCACTTTGCGTTGAATTCATCAAACGGTTAATTTCGCCTTATAAATGTGTCACAACAACAGGAAAGTGTTTGTTTGTTTTTGATCTGATGCACAGGATTTCAACATAACTTTGCTAATTTCGAAATTCCTTTACTGATTTTATTACAAGTAAGGTCTGATGGTTTTACCTAAAATTAACTGAAATTACTCTCACTATGAATGCACTATAAACAGGCTTTCTGCATATTGTTAACGGAATAAGAAAATTGCACACGTGCGTAACACATGCATGAGCACTTTGTACCACAACTTGAGAGGATTGTTGTATATGCCCAACTTCCTAGCCCTCTAGCTTAAGGGTTCCTATGAATCCCACCATTTTCTTTGACCCGGAGCATCATAGTGTGTCTGGCGTTACGAAATGTTCAGAAGTACTCGGACTAATACCGCGTGTGGGCGCCCATTACGGCAAAATGTATCCGTTTGCAGAATCTGCGCATTTTCCTATCTGTTATGCTCATATTTTTCCGATCATGTGTGAGAGAGTTATGTTTAGTGTAGAAGCCAGTGAGCAAGTAATAGTGACTTGAGCAATTTATGTGCTCTACCGGAAAGTTTCACGAATCCCTTTGCTTGCCGTTGTTTTGCGTTATGCTAAATGACTTTTTAGTCATTTTGCATTATTAGCCCCTTAATTTGATTCCTTGGTAGGCGTAAGATGTTTCTTTACCTCTGTATGTAAAGCGTACCAACAGTTTGTGAATTTATCATAAAAAACGCCTAATAAACGAAAGTGTGTATGCAAAATGAAACCCTATGTGAAACTTACTGTGCGAAGAGTTATTCCTTTAGGTCAAAAATCCTCAAATTTAGTTTTGAATAATAATTTTAATCTTTCGCCTATAATTTTTCGAAAACTTATCGCTCCACATGGCGAAGTAGCAATCATTTTCGACGAACTGAAAAGTAGTTTAACGAGGTCTATATTATAGAAACACAGTAAAGAGATAGTTGATTTTAAGACCAAAACTTGCAATCTTCTTCAGCATAGTTTATTGTTCAAGTATTGCGTTGTCGCCTAAGTAAAACCGATTTTATAAGTTCGCGGGTGCACACCTACGCGTAAGGAATACATTTTTAATCTTAAATCTTTGAGACTTCGGTAGCGTTCAATTGATATTCCGGGAAATTATTTGGAAATACATTTTCAAAGAGGAAAACATTTAAAGAATTTAGTAAAATATTCTTTACAGAATCTTTACGTCGCCCATACGGAGGGAACACCGTCAGTTATTGAGGACCTATTAGGCGTAAAGTGCAATTTTGAAACACCTTGCGCTTGGAAATGGACTGAAAATTTGCCAGATGGTTTTCATATAATGAGCGGCATAGAGGTGACCAAGAAAAATATGACTGGTTTATATCCGGGGCCGTTGGCCGATTCGGTGGACGATGCAAACGGTAAGTCATTTTCTTTTGCACCCGCTTTTCGATAAGTAATGAGTTGATTAAATAATTTTTAGGGCATTTCCTTTACGCTCGCTTACTACCCACTACTATGCAAATCAACTTGACCTCGCCTCAGTTTAGCACAACAATGGAGAAGTGTTTTCTAGAAATTTATATTCATCAAAGCGGTATGAGTCATGGTTTATTTAGTGTCGTCGTTGAGCCATTGCATTCGCAAGAGAATCCCTGGGTACCTGCTGAAATTGTTGGCGATAATTATCGTCAATGGTCGCGAAAATTTTTCAAGTTAGGTCGAATCACACGGGATTTTCGTATTGTTTTTGAAATTGTTCCGAAACTGATGGAAGGTCAGAAGGCTCATGTTGCCATTGATAATTTGCGAATGGTCAATTGTTTTCCCGAAGGCACTAAATCGGATAAATGCGGAACATCTCAAGTCAAGTGTATGATGAATAAGGTTCCCGTTTGTATACCATTGCCAAGAATTTGCGATATTACCAAAGATTGCGATGATGCTGAAGATGAGCTCTTGAATTGCGGTAAGTCATATCATCAGATTGTAACCTATTTTAACCTCGATTATCTTTGAATTTTTTATTACGATAACCACGTGATAAAAATGTGATAATTTTATATGCATTATGTCTATAAATCGCATTTATGAGTTATAATTTATGCAAAGGCAGTTGACCATTTAAACTGTGATAAGTTATTGTTGATATTGCACTTCGGACCATTTGCATGACCCTACAGAAAAGTTCAATGTAAATAGTGTAATGTTTTTTTTTTTTTTTTTTTTTAAGTGGTTGTTGAGTTCAGTTGAAAGATACACAAACGAGCAAATTATCGTGCACTTTAAGAATGAAATAAACGAGGGAAGATGCAGGAAGTGTTAATGACATTAAAGAAGCAAATGCAAAGCAAACGTAGTGCTTAACAAGCAATAGGTTAAAAATAAATAATCTTTTTACTGCATATAGAATGGGAGGGTAAGATGACACTAATCAAAAGTACTCGCATCGCATAATCGCGTTCTTAGCAAAGAAAAAACGACAAGTAATTAATAATTTTTTTATTTATTTATTTCCTTTTTTTTTTTTTTTTTATTTAAATCAAGATAAAATACCTTATGGTGGACGTTGTGATTTTGAGAATGATTGGTGCGGTTGGCATGATTCGGGTAAAACAATTTTAGCTTGGTCTCGTCACACTGGCTCATCGCCTACGCACGATACTGGACCTGATGGGGACCACACGTATCAGCATTTGTTAAATGCCACTGGCGGCTATTACATGTTAGTTAATATGAATCAACATAGCAATAATAGCGAGAAGGGTGCCCTTATCGGATTCGCGAGTAATGCTATTATGATTAGCAAAACTTTTAATCCGCCGCCTTTAGTTCATGGTAATCCAAATTCACCGTATCGCAATTCGTGTGTGGTGCGTTTTTATATTCATCAGTTTGGCAAAAATCCCGGCAGTATTAACCTTTCGGTTGTGGAAATGAAAGAGAAAGAAAATATTACTACAACTTTATGGTGGAGTACGAAAAATCAAGGTGCCGATTGGCTAAGAGCAGAATACGTTTTGCCTAATATAACCTCAAAGTAAGTTGACAGACAGAGCGAAGTACACGAATAGCATATGTGGATGATAAACGTTTTCCTTAAAGGTATTATTTGCAATTTGAGGCGCGCATGGGTATGCGGATTTATTCAGATGTAGCTGTGGACGATTTTTCTTTATCACCGGAATGCTTCGGTATAAATATACCGAAAGACTATCTTAATGGGTACAATTACTGGGATGTACGAAATAAATATAAAAGTCCTTCACATAAAGATTTTGAATATAAAAATTGTAAGTAAAGTATTAAGAGCGAAGCTTGCTCTTGCTTTACCGTTTATTTTTTCCTGTTTTTTTTTAATTTTCTAGATCTGGAATTGACTTCTTGCGATACACGTGGTATGATAGGTCCCAATCAGTTACAGTGCGAAACATTTTATAAGGACACTAACAGAAGTCATGTCCTGAAAGAAGTGCATGTCGTGGAAGATCAAAGTTCCTACAAGGGTATGCAAAAATGGAAAGTACCCCATGAGGGCTATTATACGTAAGTTAAATGAACTGGGAATTGTTGGTGAAAGGTGATGAAAGGTTCCCATTGCACTTCCTATGTAGAATTATAGCTAAAGGGGCTAGTGGTGGTCTAGGCTCAGGAGGAGTGGGTTCCTCACGTGGCGCTGTGACTGTCTCTATCCTCGAGCTACACAAGAATGAGGAACTTTACGTCTTAGTAGGTCAACAGGGAGAAAATGCTTGCATTAAATCACTCGGCTATATTGAAGAGGGATGCGGCTCGGATCTATCGGACTTGGATCTCAGTAAATACAGTTTTAGCTCTAAGCAACAAATGGTAAAAAATATCTACATTGAACATGGCGCTGGCGGAGGAGGAGGAGGCTCATATGTTTTTCTTGTAAGTCATTAAGCATTCATGAGCAGGTTGATAGCATTAAGTTTAACTCCTTTAGTTGAATTCGGCAAAGAATGAAGCGGTTCCATTGTTGGTGGCTGGCGGTGGTGGAGGTTTGGGCATTGGTCAGTACTTAGATGAGGACTTTCAGCACGGGCAGAAATCCAATCCTGGCCGATCAAGTACTACCGGGCAGATACATGGTGAACTGGTGAATAAGATTACTGCAGGACCAGGAGGTGGTTGGCGAGCGAAACCTGATCAAGCTTTAGATCCAAGGTTCGGCGCGGCTCTTCTACAAGGAGGTCGAGGGGGTCATTCATGTTTTGTAGAAATATTAAATAATGGATCTTCTACAAATCGCCATGGCCAGGGCGGCTTCGGTGGTGGAGGTGGCGGCTGTAATACTGGCGGTGGTGGCGGCGGCTATTCTGGAGGCGACGTCTATCTAAATGTGTCAAATGGAGAAGGTGGAACATCCTTTATTAGCAACAGCCGCAGCTTAAAAGAATTCAATTCTATTTACGAGGGTGCCAACTCAGGGTCCGGATCTGTAATAATTATAGCAGCTATTGAAGGTTGCGGTTGTGATTATCGTTGCGTTGCATTGGATGAATACAGAACCAGCGTGCGTTGCATTTGTCCAGAGGGCTGGCGATTGAGAAAGGATAACAATACTGCTTGTGAAAGTAAGTTAGCACAAAGAAAAAGAAGAACAAGAAAGGACGACTAAAACTTTTTTTATTAATTTTTAGTGTTGTATGAGGAGCGAATACCTTTTCCCTATTTAATAGCATTCTTTATAGTTTTGGTAGTTTTGCTGGGGGCCTCCCTCACGGCCCTTATAGTCATTTTGTGTAAGTTACCATTAATTTAACAGATTTTGTAGATTTTAGGCAAATATTTCATTTGATTATCTTCATCACAGATAATCGTTATCAACGTAAAAAGCAAGCTAAACTTCGGCACATGATGCTTTTGGAACAAGATGTCCAACTGAACCGTTTACGTCACAATGTTGATGATACAAATCTTAACAACTTCAATCCTAACTATGGCTGCGATGGTATACTTAATGGTCATGTTGATGTAAACAGCCTGCCTCAAGTAGCGCGCGAAAGCCTTCGATTAGTCAAGTAGTTGATCATTATTGAAAATTTCCACCAATATATTATGCTTTTCCCATTTTTTTACGACTTACAGGGCTTTAGGTCAGGGCGCTTTTGGCGAAGTTTATCAGGGCTTATATCGTCATCGTGATGGTGACGCTGTCGAAATGCCAGTAGCAGTGAAGACTTTGCCTGAAATGTCTACTCGTCAGGCTGAAGAAGATTTTCTTATGGAAGCCGCCATTATGGCTAAATTTAATCATCCCAATATGGTTCACTTAATTGGCGTTTGCTTCGATCGTCATCCCCGCTTTATTGTTTTGGAGCTATTGGCTGGCGGCGATTTGAAAAATTTCCTTCGTGAAGGCCGCAATAAACCGGAACGTCCTTCTCCCTTAACCATGAAAGATTTGGTGTTTTGTGCTTTGGACGTGGCCAAGGGTTGCCGTTATATGGAAAGCAAACGTTTCATACATCGTGATATAGCTGCCAGAAATTGTTTATTGAGCAGCAAAGGACCGGGACGCGTAGTGAAAATAGCAGATTTTGGCATGGCGCGGGATATCTATCGTAGTGATTATTATCGTAAAGGTGGTAAAGCTATGCTTCCAATTAAATGGATGCCTCCAGAAGCTTTTCTAGATGGTATTTTTACTTCTAAAACGGATGTGTGGTCATTTGGAGTTTTATTATGGGAGGTAAGTTTAAAAGAAAGAAAAGTTTTGTGAAAATTTTAAACTCCTTCGTTTCTGCATAGGTTTTCAGTTTGGGTTTAATGCCCTACACGGGATTACCGAATCCAGAAGTGATGCAATTAGTTACCAACGGGGGACGTTTAGGGTCTCCGCCTGGCTGTCCACCGGCTATTTATAAAATTATGGCGGACTGTTGGAACCCCACGCCAGAAGATCGTCCCACATTTTCGAATTTATTGGAGCGTTTAACCACTTGCACACAGGCAAATAGAACGTGGCTAGCAAAACGTTTGCAATCTAATAAGTTATGCTTCTCTTTTTTAGGATCCCAGTGTTATGAATGCTCCTTTGCCTTGCATATTACGCCCGCCCTCGACAGAACGTGACCAGACTATAATGCGACCACCACGTACAGATGAATTTTGTCTGCAAGTACCCCATACCGATTACCTAATACCATTACCGGGTATACGCAATGGAGGCGAATACGCCGACACTGCTACGCGTAATACGGTGGCAGTAAACACCGGAACTGATGTTTGCACTCCACCAGGCATATCACCGCCCTCGGCCCCTCAAAGTGCAAACACTGAAGACGAACATGGAGGCGGCATGAATGAAAACCCTTGCCATTGGGAAACTTCATTCATTTTACCGAATTCGAAAAGTGATCAACCATTATTGAACAGCACATTGGAATCGCAGAAAGTATCATGTAACGTAACATCGAATGGTCAGACTTCTGTAACTAACAGCGGTCAAAATAGTAGTAGTCAAAGATCTCCCGTTATTAGTGTAAGTGGTGGAATACAAACACAACCAACTAGTCCTCAAGTTGAAGAAGAGGAAGAAACGAAATTGATTAGCTTAGACACACCGCAACCAACACCGACAACTATTCAGCCACCATTATCGTTCACAACGCAACTGGATGGCATTACACTCGATCCCGGTGCGCTAACGAAGGCGAATGCTGCAATCAAGCAGCAATGTTCTTACGCTAACTTACAACTAATGACGAATCCTAAAACGAATTGCAGTGATACGTTGTTATCGGAGAAAATGGGAAACGGTAGCATCGCAACGCATAATTCTAGTGTTATAAACAATGCGAATGATGTGATAAATGCCAATGCGACTACGGGCAATAATTCAACAGCAGTTACAGCAACAACAACAACAACAGCAAACAATACGGGAGCAAATGCCCCACCATTTACAATACAAGGCTATGCTGAAAAATTTAAAGAAAATCATTCAGAAATAAGCTGTTAAGCTGCTTAAATACGCCAGTAAGTAGCAAGTCCAGTGAGAAGGAGAGTTTTTCAAAGAGTCGATAAAGATTCTCAATAAAAAAAGGGAGAAAAAATTTCATACAGGGATACAAAACAAAATTAATGAGATAAAGGAAAAGAGAGAAAGAGAGAGAGAGAGCGGGAGTCAGTTTTGAAAGCGTTTGCTTTCAAACACCGGCAAACCAATCTCGAGCAAGCTGCTTGTCATTTCACATTCCAGATATTGATAGCTGGAAATCTACACTGGCCCATCAAACTAAGCTAAGCAGAGTTTGTGGGGTCGTTTTCATAAAAATTTTCTTTGTCATATTTATTGAGAATCTTGCGCTTAATGATAAGCTCGAACTGAAAGAGAAAGCAAACACCATTGGCATTACAGGGTGTGTTTTGGTTGTAATTGTTAACATTTAAGCTCCAGAACATAAAAAAAGAGATTAAGAAATAAGAAAAAAAATTATTAAATTTAAAATTTATAAGAATTACGCATACATGCATACATAATAATATATACCTTACACGTAAGTGTATATAGGTATCATACGGCCAAATGCATAAAGATATAGACTTCGATACGAGTTGAAGTAAGTGACGATAAATTCTCATTCTCGAGTGTCAAAAATTGTTTCTTTTTCCTGTAAATAAGAAATTAAAACAAAAGAAAAAAAGAACAAGAAAAGAAATCTAACATTAACATAAAAGATAATTAATTTATTTATAATAGAGTATTATTACGAGTGAGAGTTGCGTAGTGTATAAACAAGATTTAATTTTAGAGTTTTAGAATAAAACCAAAAATAATATTTGTTTTTTTTTTTTTTTTTTTTTTTTTTGTTTTATGTCTATTCAAAACACAATAAGATTTTAAGCTTGCATAGTATATTTTACATTTTTTTATATTTAATACTAAGTTATATATAAAGTGAAGACAAATTTTATATTGAAAGTTTTTATTGCCAGACGACTGTAGAGGACCTCAAAATTTCTTTGTATATATGTACAGAGTTTTTAGCATTATCTCAAATAAATTTTTATAAACACCACCGAGACATGGAGATACGCTAGAGATTAATAGCAACACCCGGATTTCAAAGACACTAGTTGCGAGCGATTTTCTAAGCCGAATCCGTCGAATCGGAAAATCATAATAAGTTACCTAGTTTGCCCTACCATTTGTTGTAAGTTTGGTGCTAATATTTTAAAGGGTACGCCTAAAAATCTTTCTGACGGACTGACCTGGATAGGTTGTTTGATTTCTTTCTTTTGTAGAACAAAAAGTTTCCCTTATTGTTGTGTGTGCGGTTATTTATGCAAACTATACTCACATTATGGGTTTCATTGTCACTATCGGATGAAGCGAATATATCAACTTTCAAGTTATATTTGTAAGCGTCAAAGACATTTTATATTATTTCGGTTGATTAGTCCGCTCAAGGTTATGCGTGCTATTCAAAGGATAAAAAATAGAAGGCGCTAATGGCTGAGAGAATTGGCGGTCGTAACATCGAATCCATCTGATCCTTTTGATGCAAGAGTTTAAGTGCATTATACCACTCTCCCTTACCGTGCAATCGATCTGCTTTCAAATTCTAAGAATGTATAGTCGTAAGGGTTACTCTCCAGTTTAACTACAAAAAGTTTTCATAAATCTTCGATCCGTCATCAACCAGAACGCTATGTCCTTGTATATTATGTGGAGTGATTCAAACAAGTGAGAGCGCTATTGTTAGCCATAGTCCACCCTAAATACCCTACACCATTCTACAGTTGTTTATTGAATGACTACTCAAAACAGGAGATGTTCGTCCTTTCGTCAAAATATTTCAAAAATTGTGACTTGTAAGTTGAAAAGAATAATATAAGACGGAACACACAAGCCCAGATCGATACGGAAAGTGATTCTGACTCGATCATTCTTGATATTTCTATTAGTTCAGTCCTTCTATAAATTGTATACTTCTGCAAAAACTTAATATACCCATTTACCGCCAGCGGTGTAGACTATAAAAAACGGAAGGAAAGAAATTCACTGAAGTCTAAAAAGATTTTAAACCATTTTAAGAATCAAAAATTTTTTTATGAAAACCCGTTAGTACTGTTGTCAAATATAAATATTCCGAAAATGTTTTTATTGATTTTATTTTAACTTTTTTTATTTATTTATTTATTTTTTTTTTGTTATAAAATTTATTTTATTTTCTTCAAAAATTTAAAAATATCCGTCGTCAATAGATTAATAAGCTGAATATTTTCTGCAAACGGTTCTTTTCTGTCTTTTTTTTTTAGCAAATTTACAAAAAAGAAAAAAGAAAAAGATGATAATAAAAAATAATCGCAGAGATGATTAATAATGAAAAAGCTTTAATAAAAATTTATACATGTAAAAAAACAAAAACAAATAAATTTTGATAAATAAAAGCAAACTTTATAATAATTGAAAAAATAAACAACAGATTAAAAACATTTCATTTTGTTGTACATATATATGCTAAATAAGCATTAAGCATAAAAAATGTTAATAATATTTATAAGCAGTGTTTATGTTAAAATTAAATAACAAGTGTGTTGTAATTATTAAAAAGAAATTAATATTAATTTGAAAATATAGCAAATAAAACAGGAAAAAAATTATATTTATTCCCGAAGCACAATAAAAGTAAAAAATTAAAATTGGAGGAAAAAAAAAACAACAAAATAAATAACAAAAAAAAACAAAAAAGGAATAAATAAAATATATAACAAAAGTAAATAAATAAAAATGATAAGTGTATATGTACAAATATATCAAAGTCTCTTGATATTTTTCACAGCATTAAATTAATTAACGTAAAATTCTTAATAAGGGACACGGATGATTTCTCTTTAACAGCCCCTTAACTGCTCGGCAAAACTTGTTACCTTATCTGCCATTAAGTTTTATCTAAAAATCGGTGTAAGCTTTTCAAAGTGTAGGGAAATGAAAATTTTCAAAAATTATATAAACCGAAGCATTTAATAAATTGTCTTTAATAAAAGAAAATATCTATGGAAATTCGGGTCAAAAAGCAACGAGAAAATATCGAAATCTGAATACCCTGAAAATATGTACATATATATATATATATATATATATATATATATTAATTAAAGAGTGATCGTAATCTCTTCTTGGTTATATTCGATAATTCATTGTATTTTTAAAGAACTCCTTCCTTATATCTTATCCGTCGTCATCATGTTACTTCAGAACAATCTTTCTAGTCACTACATATAATTCACTGACTTGATTTCATATTAGAAATTTTGTTCTTTATTAATAATTTTGAAGCTTATTAAATATCTTGGCGCCAGCTTTGTTTTTTCAAAAACGACGAGGATCTTGAAGTTGATCAAGATGAGCCTCAATCGAGATCTTAAACGCAATGTTTGAAAATATTGATGTTATATCAAAAATTGATTTTTGTAAGTTCTTATGGGATTAGTACGTAATTACCTTAGCACCGCTTATAGATCGAGTCAAGCGATTTCGGCTTATGCTTTGGCTAAAGCGGAATGAAGACAATCCCTGCACAAATAAGTGAATTCCGTGTAAAAAGAAAAGGAAAAAAGAATCGATTGTTATTAAAACATTTAGACACATTAATGCGTTAAAGGAGGGTACCGCGACGAACCTTTAGTCTTTTGAGGTCGCTACGAAAGCAATTATATACAGCTACGGCTAAATCGCTCCAATCACTTTTACCTTAACAGAAAAAAGCCGGAAAAGAATTAAATTCGGATGCTATATAATACTAAAAGCATTTGGTCAATTTTTGCAGATTTTCTGCTGACACCGTAGTTCGCCTATACATCACACGTGAATTTTTTATGTTTGTATATGTTATAGCTTGTGCATAATGAACAAAGTGTTCTATACCCTTCACCGAAAGATGGGGAGTATGTTCATCTTATCGAAATGTTTGCGCCATCCACAGGAAAGCCTCACAGACCTCGTAAAGCATATATATCCTTAATTACCATCAAAGCGGAAGTTCTTCTACGCAATGTGGAGTTGATCCATTAAAGAACACGTCTACACATTTTTTTTTATTATTACATTTTTCGAAAAATGGATAAGATCAGCCATACCCACTCAATATTATAAATTTATAAAAGTTTAGCTTTTTTTTTTTGCTGGTAGATATAAATGAATATGTCGATCACAGTCGAATATAATTTTCTTGCTTGCAGCTGTTGAAAGCAACTTTGATACCAACTTATGTCGTATCTTGATCGATTTGGCAGAATTTCAATACCAACGTGTATGGAAAAATTTTCAATGCTTGTGCGTTACTTTCATTAATGCGACCTTGGGCTATCTTCCTCACGCATACCATACAGATGGGCATTTTCAAATCGAATCGGAGTTTAGTCCCATGCGCGAACGTGTATACTTCGTCCGGTCTCTCAAGCCTGTTGTTGTTGATGCTGGTAAAGTGAACGTACCTAAAACTCCTTAAAGAAGAACATGAGATTATAGCCGATAGCAACCGTCTTATAAATATGAAAACACCTATTATTAAACCATCTAGCAAAGCCATTGATTACTAATATCATTACCAGTTTTCGAGTTATCTGATTCTTCGAAAAGAGTGCGGGACGCCTTACACATAAAAATGTCAAACAAATAACGAAAAAAGAAAAAAAGGATGTATTGCTCCAATCTCTCTAATTCGAGAAACTTTTTGATTAGAGGATCTATAGATATTTTCTATTTTTAATACGTAAAATTTTTAAAAACAAAGGAATATCAGCAGAGAAACATAAATTTGAATAGAGAAGAAAATAAAAAAAAAAACAATATTTCAAATAATCGTCACAGCGTAATGTTATAATTGTTGACTGCGTGTTAAACTTTTTAATTTTTCAATTAATCTTAAAGTAAGTTTGCGTTAATTTATTATTCTCTTGTTATTTCTCTCTACTTTAATATTTAGCATATCTTCCTTTTAACAACATACCTTTACATATGTATATGTATATATTCATATATATGTATATATATATATATATATATATAAAAGAAAAGTTATAGATAAACCAAAAATACCTTTAATATGGAACCTGATTATCCTAAGTACCTCTTTGTAAAACACATTAACACATATAAAATAAACAAAAAAAAAAATAAAAATTTTTATTTTCGAGTGTAATTGTGAAACTTTTTTTTCAATTTTTATTTTATATTTGAAAAATCACATCAAGCCTAAGATCAGAAAAGTAATTTATATTTAATACCCATCACTTACCTGACTTGCATCCTTCTAAAGCAGACGCCATTGTAAATATGGCGAATGAATTCAAATGCCTGGCCTATCCTTCCCACACCAGATCTCTGAATTCAATTCCGGCTTCTGGAAAACTGTAGATGATATTCATGATATATATATATATATATATATGTGCCTATGACAAGAAAGCTAACATTTATATACCGTTACAGGTAACATAATGTAGTAAAAGCATGACGTAATATAATTCGTTCAGCGTTTTCTTTCGAATCATTCACTACTGTCGATGTATTTGTTGTGCAGCTGATAGGCGACTGCCTAACTAAACTGTATCGACTGTGAAGATGTAACAACAAAAACATGGATATTCAGGACGAGTTTTTAAAATCTCATGAACATCTATGGACTGGTTTTGTTGACTTTGACTTTTTCCTTCAAAAGCTTAGAAAAAAGTGAGTAAAAATATTATGGTGGGACAAAAATACTATATTGGGACATTGAATAATCTACAGCACTTTGCTTAATATAGTTATCGATATAATCACTTTTCAAAATAGGGTATCATATGGACAGTCATTCGAACCATTTTTAACAGCCTTCGGTCTTGGGCCAAAACAGTTCGGTGCACCAAATTTCATTAAAATGTCTCAAAATTTACGACCACGAAGTTGAGCAAAAGAAAAACAAGACGAACGGCTGGACTAACGGACAGACAAATAACCTTATTATAGTTTAGGGACAATAAAAGGTGGAACTCTCTGAATGTTGTGTAAATCCGCGCATACTTAACATACCCTTGTACCACAAGTAGTGTAGGGTATAAAAATACTTCAAAATTAAGTCCGTAAGGTAAGCAGGCAAACAAAACGTAACTAAATCATCTCTTATGTTATATCCTATTTTTGGAGATTAAAGCTTTTTACATATCGATGATGGGTATTAAGCCACAATTCAATCGAAAAATGCTTGAAATCTTCAATTTTTCAAATAAATATGATTTTTAAACGCTCGAGATATAACTTAAACTGATAATTGTATATAAGCAAACATAACAGCAACGAATAATTACAATAAAATAATTAAATATAATTTATAAGTATGCGTGCGTTAAGCGTTTTTTAATTTAATTTAAATATTTTTACGGATTTTTTTTTTGGTTTTTTTTTTTTTTGAAGGCGACACGTTTCGTTATGCCCGTCACTATCACAGTAGATTTGCTGTTATTGAGATGGCGGGTAGCTCGAAAAAGGTGAATATCAGTTTTTTTTTTTTTTCTATTTATCGCGAAATTTTTTTATATGTCACATTTTTTATATATATGTTATATAATGCAATTTGAAGCTCTATTCAAGCTGAGAGCTTTTTGAAGAATAATATTTGAAAAAAAATATTATAAAATATTGAAAACTATAGCAACGTAAAGACTAAAAAATAAATATAATAAAAATATATTAATATTTAGAAAAAAAAATAATATTTAGAAAAATAAGTTAATGTACAACTTAAAAAGCCAGCGGTTTTTTTAATGGTGTCTTTGCAATTTTTTTATACCCTTCATCTTTCAGGGATGAAGGATGAGGTTTATACAATCATTTTGTCAAAACTTTTGCAATGCCCCGAAAGTAGCTTCGGGGACGCCACAAAGTGTATATATTCTTGATTAGCGACAAATTCTGAATCGATTTAAGCATGTCCATCTGTCCATCTGACAGTCTGCCCTTCCGTACGTCTATTGTAAACATTTTCACAATGAACTTATCGACTTCAAATTTGACAGAAACATCTAAAGTTCTTACATGTACGTTTGTATTGAAAATCGTTCGAAGGACATACCTATAGTAACTGTGCAAAATGCGGA